GAAACAGTCACTTTCCTTGAGACACGGTGAAGACTTTAGAAGAAGACAATGTCAGAGTTGTAATATTTCTTGTTCACTTGCTAAGCAGAGTCGCTTACCCAGCCACAAGGCTGAAGGGTGCTCCTGTTAAGGAGGGATGAAGTACAAGGAGACTTGGGCCCACTGTTGTCCCTAAAGCGTCTGATACTGGAGCAAGGCAACAGGGTTCACGTTTGGGCAGACCTAAGGTGAAAGCAGAGCCTCAAAAAGACGGATCTGTACCTTTGAACTTCTCCTTGGACTTCTCTGGTAGCCCAGTGGTTAAGACCTCACCTTCCAATGCAGGGGTGCAAGTTCAATCCCTAGAACTTGCAGCTAAGAGCCCACGTCTCTTGAGGCCAAAACACCAAAACATTAAATAGAGACAATATTGCAACAAATTCAATACAAACTTTAAAAATGGTATAAACACACACACACAAATAATCTTTTACAAAATAAATAAAACATAAACTTCTCCTACCACCCTGGCCCATTGGAATGAGTCCCTCAACTGATCTGAAGCTTTCCTTTTTCTCATGAAGGGGAGATTACAGTTCCTGCCCAAGCAAGAATCTGCCTTCTCTTCCTTTCCTTTCCTTTCCTTTCCTTCCTTCCTTCCATGAGAGTTCCCTCCCTCATGTCCTCTGTTCATCATATCCACTGGGGATGAGTAGACCTCTTCCTCTTCCTCAAGCAGATTTCAGACAAAGAGCAGAAAATGGATCATAGATTTGGAAGTCTGACAGAAAGAGAGAGAGATGGCCTTTCTAGACCACTTACTACTTGTGTGACCCTGGGCAAAAAACTTAACTTATCCAAGCTCTTAGCTATAATATGAAGACAATCATAGCACCTGTCTTTGGTTTTGTAAGGCTTCAGTGAAGTGATATATTTTAAATGCTTGGCACATATGCTCCATAAATAGTGGATATCATTATGCACTTGGCACAGAGTAAATGCTCAAAAAAAGAGAGCTATTATTATGATTTATTCATTTAAAAATCAATTTCAAGATAAGATCATCTCTATTGATATAGGAGTACCATGCCATTTTTAAGGACGCTGTGTCAACCAGCAAACTATTTGTATCAATTGATAGGTGTCCCCAGCAAATAACCAATCAAAAGTGTCACTCCTACACTCTGGGAAATAACAAATCAGAGTTGTCACTCCCACATCCTGGTGTGGAAGTTTGCTCACTGTTGGGGGAACTAGGGTAGGAATGGAGGGGAAGACTAGCTGAAGAAAGCAAGTCTTCCTGCCTGAAGTGGGGATTGACCAGAGTAGCTTCAGGAAAGTACTAGGTGTATTTTCTCCTTCATTCAATGTATATGTTTTGCACACCTACAGGCTTTGTTTGTTTTTTTTTTTAGATTCTGAGTAGAGCATAGAATAGACATGGGTTTGCCCCATGGATTTTACAATCTAGTGGGAAAGACAGATAATAAATAAGAAGGGAATCTAGTAAATGTACAGCGAACAGTTACTTCAGTGCAGTGATAGAAAAGAACGGGATGTGCTGGGAAAATAATAGGAGTGGACAAGTTTAGTTCAGGGCAGGAGGATCACTCTGAGGAAGCGTCCTCTGGACCTGCCAGGGGCAAGCAGCCCCCCACCTCCTGCCCCTCTACCTTCCTCTGGTCCCCACCTTGGTCTTCCTTCATCCTTCACTGGGCACTGTGCTTGTTGCTGAGAACACAGATGCAGGAGCCAGAATTGCTCCCCTGGAGAGCGGGGGTGGGCAGGCGGGCCCAGCAGGTGTAGATAATAGAGTGGTGGTCGGCCACACAGGAGCAGTGGCAGGGGGACTGCTCGTTATGCTGGGGTGTCCTTCCTTGGGCAGTTTTTGAGCTTCGTTGATTACAGTGCTGCAGTGTGAGGTCAAGTGCAGCTGGATGCTTTGGGGAAGGCCACTGGAGGGTAGTGATGATGGGCAGGAGAGGGAGGAGGAGGGGGTTGAGGCAGGGTTTCCACGCTACAGTTTCTGCAAGAAGGAAGGCTGAGCTGGGGCTTCAGGAGCACCACTGAGATGCTGCTCTTAAATCCCTCCACCCTCGATGTGGGGACAGTTGGGTTGTAAATTCTCTCTGGGTTTGGGTGACGGGGGAGGCCACAGTTACCCTCCGGAGGCAGCAGGCGTTTCCTAACATATAATTTCATAATTGGAAAATGAAGAGCAATTCTAATCATTGTGTAATAGAGAGCCATCTAGTCTCTAAATAAATGTTTATTAAGCAACTTCAATGTGCCAGGCATATCTTCCCTGCTGAACCTACAACTGTGAACAAATCAGGTAAAAATATCTGTTCTCAAAAGAAACTTGACATGTTCTTCTTGGATGTTACCAAAAAGTATTAGAGGGATTAAATTAACAAGGCATATGGCCAACATTGAGTTCCCTACAAGGCACGGGGTACACTGGAATTCTGTGCTGAACAAGACTGACATGGTTTCTCTATATCTGGAAACTTAGAGCCAGTGCCAAGATTCCTCTAAATATCCCCTCTGGACACTGAATCACCTGGTGTGATTGTTCATGCGATTCCTAGCATCTCCCCAAACATGCTATAGAATCTCAGGAATTTGCATTTTTTAAAATTTATTTATATTTTGGCCCTAGTTCCCCAACCAGGGATTGAACTCATGTCCCCTGTAGTGGAACTTCAAAGTCTTAACCACTGGACCACCAGGGAAGTCTTAGGAGTCTGCATTTTACATGAGCCTCCCCAAATGATTCTTCTGCCCAGTATGATTTAAGAAGTGCTGTGTGAGGCCCTTAAGTAGAGTTAACTCCTACCAAGTGTGCATATGTGAACATTTTCTGTTTTATTCAACAACGTATAACATTGATCCTGGTTCTATTGATGCGCTAGGAGAAAGTTTGATTTTGCAGTGACCGTGATGTATATCCAATAAGGACATGAGATTTTTATGTTTATCAGAAGGAAGACTGATTCAGTTGAATGCTTCCATATACCTGAGTAAACAGAAACTCATAGATGCTAAAGACTCGCCTCAGGTCACATATCCGGGCAGGATGGCAGTTGCCCTGACCCTGCGCTGGGCCCTTTTACTGCCCCCATAAAAGGCACTGGGGTTTGGAGCAGTTGGTCTTGACTCCAGGAAAGACAGAGCTATCGCCTACTCTCAGCCCTTAGGGACAGACATTCCTATGCTGGGTGGGCACAGCCCCTACTCCCAGGCCTCCAGCACAAGTTTCAAGAGATAAGGAGCGAGGAAAGTCCATTTCAGCCCGGGTGAGGGCTCCTGTCAGCTGTCTCCTTGGCTGAGCTGACCCTAGTCAGGGTGCTGGATCCTTTGAAGTCAAAGGCACTTTTTAAAAATGGATTTCCTGAAGTGAGGAATAATCATTCTCACATGTGAACCTGGGAAAATGTAGGTAGTGATGCCAGTGAACAAATGCAGGTTGAAAAACAAATTTTTCTCACTGCCCAAAGAATTTCAGGGTTCTCTCATCTTTTCCATCCACTTCCATAGGAAAAGAGCTTAAGACAAGGCAATCAAGATAGAAGAAGTAGCTAAAATTTGCTAAAATACAACCCCAAATGTGTTAACATGCATGACTCTAAAAGCCCTCTCTGCCCTCTTAAGTTCCTGGGAACAGCATTGGGAAATCAAAGGATATGTGCGTTTGTGTGTGTGTGTGTGTGTGTGTGTGTCACTGAGCTCAAAGGTGACTATTTAATGACTGTGCCTGCATAAATAATATGGATATTTAAGCTAAGCTGGTTAGTTTAGAATTGTCAGCCAAACATGACAAAAGCCAAACAGTTCTCTCAGGTCTGATTTACCACAGCCGGCTTTCTATGGTGATAAACTCAATCACTGTCAGATCTCCCTTGTGATATTTGGAGAGAGTCAGAAGGTACTCTATCCACCCACATCCTAATGGGCTGCAAATTTTTATCTGGAAAGTTATTCATTGCTTTATCGTTAGTTACTCTCACCAGCTTTGATCCTTTCGGTTCTGCCCTCACCACCCCGTTGTATCTTCACAGTTGCAGATGACAGGAAATTAGTTTTATTTTTCTACAGTTTTTCCCTCTCATGAAACACTCTAACTGAAATCCACTCTTCCCTACAAGTAACTTTATAAGATGCCATTTACACATACACAGTCTCTGTCATTTTCATGTTACTCCTTCCTTTGCAAAGAACACACACACTCACACACACACTCAATTCAAGATACTTCAGTGAGTCAGTGATCAACTGGGATAGGTTTCAATTCCCATGATTTACTGACAGAGTTTTTCAGCCAACCTAACATAGGTATTCTGCTATGGGAGTTGCAAACAGAAATGCCTAAAGAGTGAGGCAGACAGCAGAAGGGAGTGGGGCTACCCCAAGAGGGGAAACCAGTGACTGGGGGGACACAGGCTCTAAAAGCAACATTTTCCAATAGAAATTCTGTGGTGATAAAAATGGTCTATACCTGTACTGACCAATATGGCAGACATCAGTTACATGTGGCTAGCAAACACTTGAAATGTGGCTACTTGAACCTGAACTTTCAATTAAATTTCAATTTGACGAGCTACATGTGCTAGGGGCAATCCCGTGGGACGGCACACAGAGAGACCCTGCTCGTCAGGGCCAGCCGACTACTCCCATGTATGAGTACAGACTCGGGGGAGCCAGGGCTTATCTTCCTAGAGAAACTGGAAATCCCAATCTTTGTGGGAACACCTTAATTTTATTTATTTATTTTTCTTTCTTAAAATCTCTACTTTTGAGACAGGACATAAGTGTTTCAGACACACATGGAAATCAATACAGGATCATAGTTGAAAGCGAAGACAACCTAGTCAGGAAGTTTTTATGCCTGTCAGCTAACGCTGAAGCTGAGTATGACATGCTGCAGGACTCAAAGGAATGGTAATTAGTATTCCTCTCCTTCTCCCTCAACAGAATCCACACCAACCTCCTCATAGTCTTTCTCAAGGGCAGCCATGTCCTCACGGGCCTCCTTCCTCCATGCCCTCACCCACGCACCAGTGAACAAACGCACGCTTGGCATACATCAGGTCAAACTTGTGGTCCAGGCGAGCCCAGGCCTCAGCGCTGGCTGTGGTGTTGCTCAGCTTGCACACAGCTCGCTGGACTTTGGCCAGGTCCCCACCAGGTACCACAGTGGGAGGCTGGTAGTTAATGCCAACCTTGAAGCCCGTGGGGCACCAGTCCACAAACTGGATGCTGCGCTTGGTCTTGATGGCGGCGATGGCAGCATTGACATCTTTGGGAACCACATCACCAGGGAACAACAGGCAGCAGGCCATGTATTTACCATGGTGAGGCTCACATTTCACCATCTCGTTGGCTGGCTCAAAGCAAGCATTGGTGATCTCTGCTACAGAAAGCTGCTCATGGTAGGCTTTCTCAGCAGAGACGACAGGGTCATATGTGACCAGAGGGAAGTGGATGCAGGGATAGGGCGCCAGGCTGGTCTGGAACTCTGTCAGATCCACATTCAGGGCTCCATCAAACCTCAGAGAAGCAGTGATGGAGGACACTATCTGGCTAATAAGGCGGTTAAGATTTGTGTAGGTTGGGTGCTCAGTGTTGAGGTTTCTATGACAGATGTCATAGATGGCCTCATTGTCTACCATGAGGGCACAATCAGAGTGCTTCAGGGTGGTGTGGGTGGTGAGGATGGAGTTGTAGGGTTCCACGACAGCTGTGGAAACCTGGGGGGCTGGGTAAATGGAGAACTCCAGCTTGGACTTCTTGCCATAATAGACAGACAGACGTTCCATCAGCAGGGAGGTGAACCCAGAACCAGTTCCCCCACCAAAGCTGTGGAATACCAGGAAGCCCTGAAGACCGGTGCACTGGTCAGCCAGTTTCTGAATTCAGTCCAAGACGAGGTCCATGATCTCCTTGCCAATGGTGTAGTGACCTCGGGCATAGTTATTGGCAGCATCTTCTTTGCCTGTGATGAGCTGCTCAGGGTGGAAGAGCTGATGGTAGGTGCCAGTGCGAACATCATAAATGACTGTGGGTTCCAGGTCTACAAACACTGCCCTGGGCACACGCTTGCTAGCGTCTGTCTCACTGAAGAAGGTGCTGAAGGAGTCGTCTCCTCCTCCAATAGTCTTGTCAGTTGGCATCTGGCCATCAGGCTGGATGCCACGTTCCAGGCAGCAGAGCTCCCAGCAGGCATTGCCAATCTGATACCAGCCTGGCCAGCATGGATGGAGATGCACTCACGCATGGTGGCTCCGGGTCAGCAGGCGCAGGCAACAGGAGTAGACACGGGTCCCGGTTACCGTCCCCGACAAGCTCAGAGTCGAGGTAAGTGACGCACTCACATCTTAATTTTAAAAACAGCAAACCAGTCTAAGCTAACATCTATGGTACAGTTATGACCAACACCTGTCTCGTTTGCAATTACAGATCCACTCTCCTCATCTTGTTCTCTCCCGGATCCTGCTCCTTCAATCCTACCAGGAGAACACTTCCACAGTCTACCTTCATCAGCCATTTGCAACTTGGGTGTTCTTCTCCCAGCCTGTGAGGCTGGGAGAGCCACCATTTCATATCTCCTTAGACTCTGACCTCCCTCTTCAGAATCCTTCTTTGACCTCACCTCAGAAATGCACCCTCACTAACAAGAAGAGTAGGGCCACTTACTTCTATTACAATGCCTCTCTCCCAATATTCCCTGCAGAAACACCTGTAGAGAATCCCCCTAACATCTTTAGAACATCAAGAAAGTTCATTCTGTCTCCTACTGTATGTTCTCAGACGGTAGAGAAAAAGTCTTTGGCTACTTCAATTCTACAGAGCAGTATTTTTCAAACGCTTTTTGAACATAATGCATAGTAAGAGATACAGTTTACATTGCAGCTTATTATAGACATTCTGTACACACACACATTTAGAAAAGTTTCACAAAACTCTGTTGTTATTCTGTGTCATGCATTCTGATATTTTCTATTCTTCTCTTTTAATCTTTAAAATTTCTTTTAACACTGACCATAGCGTCCACTAATGGGTCCGAGTCCAGAGTCTGAAAACATTGCTACGGAGAGTCCAGCCCATGTTTTGTAACCAAGAAATAGTCATTGACTAATCTAAATGTTTTTATCATTTCCTTCAACAACCCTCAACTTCTTCCTGCCTCCCTGATATGCATACCCCATTAGTAGCAGTAAGTCAGAGACCAGCACAAATGAAATTATTCTCTAATGTGCTGGGGGTCTTTGTAGTCTCCACTTAAAGAACCTCATTACACTCAGATTGTTCTTCATGGGAAGTGATTTACATTAAAAAAAAGAAGAAGAAGAAAAAGATCAAACAAGTATTTTCCCTTCACAGTATATTACTTCCTGCGATTCATCAAAATTCTTTTCATGGGTAAAGGTCACTTTTCATTTACATATGGCATCTGTGTATGCTTTGTTAAAAAGGGTGTGGCTCTCAAAATATAAATCAGGCCTTGTGTGTTGATGGAAAAACTTATGAAAAGTGATGAGAGGGAAGGGAGAGCAATAATATGGTGAAAAGAGGTACAGATGCCATCAGACTTTCCAGAACTCAGCCCATCTGACTTCAAAAGGGAAAGATGCAAATAAAATACCTACACAGAATTATAGGAATCTGCATGCATTTGCCATGAGCTGTAATACTTTTCCTAAAGTATTTTGAAAAAAGAAAGAAAAGCATTTGAGTCTAATGTAAAGAGTCAAAAATGATGTTAGTCCTGGAAACACTGAACTGACTCATTAGAAAGTCTTTTCTTTTTAATTAATTAATCAATTTATTTATTTTGTCTACATCGGGTCTTTGTTGCTTCAGACAAGCTTTCTCTAGTTGCAGCAGGTGGGGCTACTCTCTAGCTGTGGTGCACAGGCTTCTCATTGCAGGCTTCTCACCGCAGGCTTCTCACCGCAGGCTTCTCATTGCAGGCTTCTCACTGCAGGCTTCTCACTGCAGACTTCTCTTTGCAGGCTTCTCACTGCAGGCTTCTCACTGCAGGCTTCTTATTGCAGGCTTCTCACTGCAGGCTTCTCACTGCAGGCTTCTCAACGCAGGCTTCTCACTGCAGGCTTCTCATCGCAGGCTTCTCACTGCAGGCTTCTCATCGCAGGCTTCTCACTGCAGGCTTCTCATTGCAGGCTTCTCACTGCAGGCTTCTCATCGCAGGCTTCTCACTGCAGGCTTCTCACTGCAGGCTTCTCATTGCAGGCTTCTCACTGCAGGCTTCTCATCGCAGGCTTCTCACTGCAGGCTTCTTATTGCAGGCTTCTCACTGCAGGCTTCTCAACGCAGCCTTCTCACCGCAGGCTTCTCATTGCAGGCTTCTCACTGCAGGCTTCTCATTGCAGGCTTCTCACTGCAGACTTCTCACCGCAGGCTTCTCATCGCAGGCTTCTCACTGCAGGCTTCTCACTGCAGGCTTCTCACTGCAGGCTTCTCATTGCAGGCTTCTCACTGCAGGCTTCTCATCGCAGGCTTCTCATTGCAGGCTTCTCACTGCAGGCTTCTCATCGCAGGCTTCTCATTGCAGGCTTCTCACTGCAGGCTTCTCATTGCAGGCTTCTCATTGCAGGCTTCTCACTGCAGGCTTCTTATTGCAGGCTTCTCACTGCAGGCTTCTCAACGCAGGCTTCTCACTGCAGGCTTCTCACTGCAGGCTTCTCACTGCAGGCTTCTCATTGCAGGCTTCTCACTGCAGGCTTCTCATTGCAGGCTTCTCACTGCAGGCTTCTCATCGCAGGCTTCTCACTGCAGGCTTCTTATTGCAGGCTTCTCATTGCAGGCTTCTCACTGCAGGCTTCTCATCGCAGGCTTCTCACTGCAGGCTTCTTATTGCAGGCTTCTCACTGCAGGCTTCTCAACGCAGGCTTCTCACCGCAGGCTTCTCATTGCAGGCTTCTCACCGCAGGCTTCTCACTGCAGGCTTCTCACTGCAGGCTTCTCACCGCAGGCTTCTCATCGCAGGCTTCTCATTGCAGGCTTCTCACTGCAGGCTTCTCACTGCAGGCTTCTCACTGCAGGCTTCTCACTGCAGGCTTCTCTTTGCAGGCTTCTCACTGCAGGCTTCTCTTTGCAGGCTTCTCACTGCAGGCTTCTCTTTGCAGGCTTCTCACTGCAGGCTTCTCATTGCAGGCTTCTCTCACTGCAGGCTTCTCACTGCAGGCTTCTCACTGCAGGCTTCTCACTGCAGGCTTCTCACTGCAGGCTTCTCACTGCAGGCTTCTCATTGCAGGCTTCTCACTGCAGGCTTCTCACTGCAGGCTTCTCTTTGCAGGCTTCTCTTTGCAGGCTTCTCTTCTTGAAGAGCACAGCCTCAGTAGTTGTGGTACATGGGCTTAGTTGCTCTAAGGCATGTGGAATCTTCCCCAATCAGGGATCGAACCCATGTCCCCTGCAGGGAATTGACGGGTGGATTCTTAACCAGAAAGCCTTAAAACAAGAAATCCATGCCCCATTTTGTTCCCCCATAAGGTAGTGGTTAACATTCTGGATACAGGATTGGATGTCTCAGTTTGAATCCTGACCCTGCTGCTTTATCAGACATGTGATTTTGTACCAGTAGCTTACTTCTTAGTGCTACCATTTCCCCAACTACATAACATGAAGAATCTCAGCACCATCCTCAGGAGGTTGGAATTGGCTCATATTTGGAAAGCATTGAGCCCTAGTGCCTGGTATACGGTAAAGACAATATAAGCCCTTGTTAAATAAATCGTCTAAGAGAAGATTAAAATATATCAACTCTTCTGTCCCCTAACTTCAGGGCAGGAGAAATAGGAGAAATATTAAAAAAAAAAAAAATGAGACTGAACAAGTTAAGTAACTGCTGTCCTGTTTGTTTATCTATGCACAGATTTGACACCCAAGGTGACAAAGCTTAAATGTCATCCTCTGTGAAAAATTACAAGCCATTTAGAAAGAAGAAGAACAAGGAATGATATCTCAGTCCCTAAGCCAAGACGGAAAAGTGAACTGTGTGAAAAACATAAAACAGAGCTGTTTGTGATACCTGAAGGCCAGACAAGGCAGAGAGACCACCCAGTGTCAGCCGAGGAAGAAAGAACTGAGAAAGCTAAAAACCTAAACCTAGGGCGAGTGGGGAGGACATCGGCATACCGGATACAATTTGGGAGGACAATGAAAAGCCACTCAGGCAAAATTTGTTTTAAGAAAAATTCCTGGGATAGCGCTTACAGAAATGAATGATGATATGTGCAAAAGTCTACTGAAAGGGGTAAAATTAACAACCGTAAGAGGGGCCTAT